AAGGCATCAGATTCTCCAACAGGAAGTGACTGGCCCTAAGCAACGCAGCCAAGAAGTGACTGGGTCAAGATCTGAACCAAGTCGGCACTAGCTCCATGCCCCTTACCACAAGGCCACTGTGAGGTGCCAAGGAGCTGCCTTGTCAACACCGCTGGCAGGGATGTGGGGCGTTCAGACATCCATGAGAGGGCAGAGGGGACAGGTGTGGTGGGATAGTCCTGGCGGGAAGCGTTTCGGAATGGGAATAAGAATCCACACGGCAGGAAGTGAGAGCCAAGACTGGGAAGAAGGACGAATCAAGCCCAGACTGTGGTAGAAAGGTGGCGGAGCATCTGGGCTCCCCAGTTTCCTTCTTTCCCCGTTACTGGGCCGGGGAGCTGGGAGCGGCTGGGAGCTAGGATCTCCATTTGCCTGTCTTTTGGAGAGAGAGACTGGGAAAAACACCTGAACATGTGGAATCACAACGCTGGGCAGCCAGGGCCAAATCCATCCAATCCCCCCAACATCGGTGCCCTGGAGGCTCCAATCCTGCCCATCCACCACCTGTCAATCCAGCCTGTCCTCCAGGCCCTTCCCTCCTCCCCCAGGAGTTCCCCACAGAAATCCTGTTTTCCCTCCAGGTGGGCCCCCTCATCCTGTGCCACAGCCAGGGTATCCAGGATGCCAACCCCCAGGTCCCTACCCTCCTCCATACCCACCACCTGCCCCTTGCATCCCTCCTGTGAATCCCTTGGCTCCTGGCATGTTAGGACCAGGAATGATGATGGACAAGAAGACACAGAAGAAAATGAAGAAAGCTCATAAGAAGATGCACAAACATCACAAGCACGGCAAGCATTCCTCCTCTTCCTCCTCTTCCAGCAGTGACTCTGACTGAATACAGGGCCTGGACCCTTCCCTCAAGTCTCACCAGTTCTGCTCTCCCATCAAGCTTCAGATGCCATGTTGTACTGGTGGAAATTAGCCCTTGTGCACCCCCACCCCACCCCACCTGAGCCTCACTCTGCTGTTCAGACCTGACTGGCTAGGGAAAATGGGAAGAGGGTTGCCATGGGCTAGCAAAGGCCATCTTCTTGCTGCTTGGATAGATCTTATAGCTGATGAGTTCAGCAGAGGAGCTGCTTTTTGAAGATGGGGAGACCTTTGTGCTAAATGCTGAAGACAAGTTTAAGATCTGTAAAATGTGATTTTTTAACTTTCTTTTGTTATACTTGTGGTTGGGGGATTTTGTGGAAATTTAACTATGAAGAAAAAACTGTACTATTTTTGTAATGTTGGCACACTTGGGTACTTTGTTGGGAAATACATTTCCTAGCAGGCCTTCTATTGATCACACTAACTGCAGGGTTGCTGGCACGGAGATTCATCTAGCTGATAAACTCTGCCATGTTGAGACCTAATCTCTACCATGCTGGAAGCTTCTTAGCTCCATGTGCAATCTCAGGTCCTACTTTCTTTCTCCAACTCGATCCAAATAAAGCTATTTCTCCTGGAAAAAAAAAAAAAGAATCCCCACGGAGGCTGAGGGGCTGGCAGTGTGTCCCAGCTTGTCACAGGAGCAGGGAGGGTCCGTGCGGAAGGGGCGTGGGGGGCAAGGGTATGTGTGGCGAGGAGTGGCAAAGAAAGCCCAGGGAACTCCAGGAGGACCAGGGAGCGAGGAGAGCTCTTCTCTGCTCCGAGAGGGGCACGGCGAGAGTGTCTGAGTGCTGGCGGCAGGTGGAGGAGCCCCGCCGCGGACACCGGCCTGCCTCGGGTGACAGACGCGCTGTGTGCGACCCCTGCAACGCCGACGTCCAGACAGGAAGGACGATGAGGAATGTTGGGGGAATTGCATTTTGAAACAGGATCGTTAGGAAAGGTCTCATAAGGTCACACTTGAGGAAAGCTGGGCTGCCTCTCGGGGACTGCGACTGCGCAAGCGCTGCGCAGGGCGTGCGGCGAGCGAGCAGGCGCGGGCGGCGAGGCTGTGCGGAGGGGGAGGGGCGGGTCGCGTGAAACACTGCAAGGACTCTGGATCGCGTCCTGAGGGAAACGTGAGCCACCAGCAGGCGTGCTCCGAGGACGGACGTGACGCGAGAAGCTGGGGACTGTCACTCAGCAAGTCCAGCCGGGAGGCCCCGCGGTGCCCGGAGCTCTCGCGTGACTTGTGACCAGGGCGTGGCGGGCGCGTGGCGGCGGGGACCTGCTGCTGGGCGCGCCCTGGCCTGGCTCGGCGGCGCTGCGTGTGGCGCGTGTGCTGGCTGTGAGGGAAGACGCTCCGCTAAGGATCTTGGCGGGACGAATGGAGTCTCCGTTCACAGACAATGCCGCGGGTTGGAAGCAGTTGCACGTTGAGCTCAAGATTCTTTTGAGACGTTCAAGTGGAGATGTTGGGAGACAACCGGATAGGAGCCCGAATTCAGGAGAGAGGCCCAGGGTACGAGGAACATTTGGGAACTGTGAGCCTTCAGTGCAGAAAGCTGAGGTCGCCAGCGCACTGAGTGTTCCAGAGAAGAGCCCCCAGGCATTGCAACATGAAAAGGTTGGTCCTAGCACTCTGGGAGGCCGAGGCGGGCAGATCGCTCGAGGTCAAGAGTTGAAGACCAGCCTGAGCAAGAGCAGAGCGCGTGCTACATAAGATTAGAAAGAAACAGTGTGTGAAGCTGAAGCAGTATTATTAGAAGAAGTGTAGCGGCATGTGCGCATGCCTGTAGTCCCAGCTACTCAGGAGGCTGAGGCAGAAGGATTGCTTGAGCCCAGGAGTTTGAGGTTGCTGTGAGCGAGGCTGACGCCACGGCACTCACTCTAGCCTGGACAACAGAGTGAGACTCTGCCTCAAAAAAAAAAAGCTGGGATGGTGATGAGGACCCTGCAACAGGACCGACGGCCAGTGAGGTAGAACCATGGGACAGAGGTGCTGGAAGCCAAGGCAAAGAATTCCCTTCCTCCTCCTTCCTTCCTTCTTCTTCCTTCCTCTCTCCCTTCTTTTTTTCCAGTTTCTTTAGAGATGGGGTCTGGCTCTGTCGCCCGGGCTGGAGTGCCAAGGCACAGTCACAGCTCCCAGCCTGGGCTCGGGCGGCCCCTGCCTCCGCCTCCGCACGTGCTGGGACCACCGGCGTCAGCCCGCGCCAGCCCCAGAACACACCATTTCTAAGACCGAGCAGCGATCCGCCCTGAGAGCCTGACAGGGGAGAGACGGCGGGACTCCGCAGGGCTGAGGCGGTGGGAGGGGCGCCCCGCGGGGCGGGCGGCGCCAGGGTCCCGGCTGTGGGCGCCAGCCTGGGAACCCAGGGCCAGCTCTCGCTGCGAGGCCAGGCCGGCGGGCGACGGCCGGGAGAGTGAGCGGCTGCGCGGGAGCGCGCGGCGCGGCGGGCCGCCGCTGCGCTCGGACGCGGCGCCCGCTGGCGCCCTCGAGCCGGCCGCCGCTGGCGCCTCCCGGACGCCGGGCCGCCCGCTGGCGCCTCCCGGCCGGGCCGCCCGGTGGCGCCCCTCCCGGACGCCGGGCGCCCCGCCTGGCGCCCCCTCCGCACGCCGGGCCGCCCGCTGGCGCCTCCCGGACGCCGGCCGCCCCGCTGGCGCCCCCCCGGACGCGGGCCGCCCGCGCTGGCCCTCCGGACGCCGGGCCGCCCGCTGGCGCCTCCCGGACGCCGGCCGCCCCGCTGGCGCCCTCTGGACGCCGGGCCGCGGGAAGGGCGCGGGGAGCCGGGGGTAACGGCGCAGGGCCCCGGGGCCCGCGGCTCTCGCCGCCCACCTCCACTGGCCGGGCCTGCGCCTCCCCGGCTCCCCCGTCCTGGAAGGCGGCGAAGGTCGGGTGTGTCTTCCACCACCGGGAGAGGGCGGCTCGTCCCGGCCCGGCAGAGCCCGCCTGCGCCCGCCTGGCCCCGCCCCAACACAGGCTCCGACCTCCAGAGCTGCCGGGAGAACGTGCTGTCTGCGGTGACTAGTTCACATGGAAACTAATACTTTCTTATCGTAGTTTATTTCTGTGCTCATGTAAATACTAAATGATTTAGAATACTGTGACAGTGTAACACTTGGTGTGAGCTTTTACACCCCCAGGTGGTGACGCACAGCCCAGATGTAGGAAGCTCTCTCTGGTGTCAGATGGTGGCACTTTCTGATTGGTGGCACTTAGTACGTGACCTCATTTCACCCTCACGACAGTGCTATGGAGGTGCACTACAATTCCAGGTCAGAACAAACAGGACTGCTTGTTTGTTGTGCCCACGCCCAGCTAAATCCTTTATCTCTTTAAACCCCAGGCCCAGATACTGACATTAAGGCTATTTGATCCAGGGGGAAGTGACAGCAGGACGGGTGCTGTTGGTCGCAGGCTCCCCATCTGGGTCCACCCCACTTGCCTTCCTGGCTCAGGGCCTGCTCAGGGGCGGGACAGCCTGTGTCTGTGCAAGAGGGACTGGGACCCCTGCCCAACAGCATGGCCACAGACATCATCCAGGGGGCAAGGCAGCCAGTAAGAAAAAAAGCTCTGAACTCTCCCCAAAAGAACTGACTTTATTTGAAATAGATTGCAGAGAAGTTCAAGCTTAAGGACATTCTTGAAAGCAACAGTTCCTCTTAATTAAAAGCAATAAACTAAACCATAGACCAGCTAATTCACCAGAAGGATTCAAGGAAAGAGACAGCTAAGAAGGACCCACCTGCTCAGAGACTGACTTCAAAAACTGCTCTTGCCTGAATTTAATTGTGTCAGACTGCTAAATAATTTATATCTCACTGTCAAAAATAATAATTAGTGGAGTCTGGCCAGGTGCTGTGGCTCACACCTATAATCTTCACACTCTGGGAGGCCAAGGCAGGAGGATGGATGGCTTGAGGTCAGGAGTTCCATATCAGCCTGAGCAAGAGTGTGAGACCCCCGTCTCTACTAAAAATAGAAAAAATTAGTCAGCATGATGGTGCATACCTATAGTTTCAGCTACTTGGGAGGCTGAGGGAGGAGGATCACTTGAGCCCAGGAATTTGAGGTTGCTGTGAGCTAGACTAACACCACAGCATGGCACTCTAGTCCAAGCAACAGAGTGAGACTCTGTCTCCAAAAAACAAAAATTAGTGGAGCCTATTTCTATACACTTTCATATGGGAGCCTCATATGGGTGTAATATCAAATGAGACAGACAGTTTAACAGAGAGATAAGAGGAAGAGATAGTCAAAAAGATACCCCACTAAAAACACGATCTTCCCAGGGTGAATATGCACATTCTAATGTGCATTTGTAATTATATACAGCACCTATATTTATTTCTTTATAAATATATACAAATCTATCTGAGGAGTGTCATTAGAGGCTCCACATTACAGGGGACACAGACTTCACTAAAACAGAGTGTGAGGTTACAAAACAAATAAATAAGCAACAACAAAAACAAGCTCAGAAAACCAGGAGAAGCATCAATATTCAGAGTTACTTTTCCCCTAAGAACAGAAATAAGACAAGGAGGTCTGCTCTTGTCACTTCCATTCAATCTGTACAGGAGGTTCTATCCAGGGCATTTAAGCAAGAAAAAGAAATAAAAGGCATCTAAATTGGAAAGGGAGAAGTAAAACTGTCCTCTTCACAGATAACATGATCTTGTTTAGAGAAAATCCCAAAAAATCCACCAAAAGAACTATTAGAACTAATTGAATTCAGCAAGATTACAGGATAAAAGACCAGTATACAGGACGGATTTGAAAACCCCGGAGCGAGGTTCTGCCTACCCGGGGCCGCTGCTGTGCGGAGACCCCCGGCGAAGCCACCGTCGCCATGTCTGACCAGGAGGCAAAACCTTCAACCGAGGACTTGGGGGATAAGAAGGAAGGAGAATACATTAAACTTAAAGTCATTGGACAGGATAGCAGTGAGATTCACTTCAAAGTGAAAATGACAACACATCTCAAGAAACTCAAAGAATCATACTGTCAAAGACAGGGAGTTCCAATGAATTCACTCAGGTTTCTCTTTGAAGGTCAGAGAATTGCTGATAATCATACTCCAAAAGAACTGGGAATGGAGGAAGAAGATGTGATTGAAGTTTATCAGGAACAAACGGGGGTTCATTCAACAGTTTAGATATTCTTTTAATTTTTTTCTTTTCCCTCAATCCTTTTTTATTTTTAAAAATAGTTCTTTTGTAATGTGGTGTTCAAAATGGAATTGAAAACTGGCACCCCATCTCTTTAAAACATCTGGTAATTTGAATTCTAGTGCTCATTATTCATTATCGTTTGTTTTGATTGTGCTGATTTTTGGTGATCAAGCCTCAGTCCCCTTCATATTGCCCACTCCTTTTTTAAAAATTACATGTGTGCACAGAGAGGCCACTGTTTTCAAGACTGTGCATTTTCAGGCTTGTGATAAATAAGATCGACCAATGCAGGTGTTCATAATGACTTTACAATTGGCCCTGAAGTTCTAGCATGTGATTGCTTCACTCCTGGACTGTGACTTTCAGTGGGAGATGGAAGTTTTTCAGAGAACTGAACTGTGGAAAAATGACCTTTCCTTAACATGAAGCTACTTTTCAAATTTGAGGGTCTGGACCAAAAGAAGAGGAATATCCAGTTGGAGTCAAGCTGACAGAAAAGGTGAGAGTAATGAATAACTCCAAAGATGGCTTCACTGAAGAGAAGGCATTTTAAAGATTTTTAAAAAATCTTGGGAGAAGATCCCAGAAAAAGTTCTAATTTTCATTAGCAATTAATAAAGTTATTCATGCAGAAGTGTATACAATAGAACACTGCTCTTTTTGATTTTATTTGTACTTTTTGGCCTGGGAATATGGGTTTTGAATGGACACTGTCTGTACCAGCTTCATTAAAATAAACAATATTTGTAAAAATAAAAAAAAAATAAAAAAAAAAGACCAGTATACAAAAGTCAACTGTATTTCTAAACACTTTCAGTGAACATTACAAAAATAAAGAAAACATTCACGGTAGCATCAAAAAGAATAATAGTCTTAGAAATAAATTTAACAAAAGAATTGCAAAATGTATTCTCTGAAAAATGCAAAACATTGTTGAAAAAAATTAAAGAACTAAATAAATGGAAAAACATCCTGTGTTCATGGATCAGAAGACTTAACATTGTTAAGATGACAACACTCCTCAAACTGATCTACAAAGTCAGTGCAATCCCTATTAGTATTCCAGTTGACATCTTTGTAGAAATTGGCAAACTGATTCTAAAATTCATATGGAATTGCAAGGAACTCAGAATAGACAAAACAATCCAGGAAAAGAAAAGTAAAGTAGGAGAATTCATACTTCCTGATATCAAAATGTAATACAAATCAATAATAATGAACATAGCGTAGTACTGGCAAAGGCTAGACATATAGATCAATGGAACAGAATTGAAAGTCCAGAAGTAAACCCATATGTCTATGGTCAACTGATTTTCAACAAAGCTGCCAAGACTATCCAATAAAGAAAGAATGGTCTTCTCAACAAATGGTGCTAAATCAAATAGACAGCCACATGCAAAAGAATGAAGGTGGACCCTTACCTCACCCCATACACAAAAGTTAACTCAAAAAGAATCAAAAGCTGGGCGTGGTGGCTCATGCCTGTAATCCTAGCACTCTGGGAGGCCGACGTGGGCGGATTGCTCCAGGTCAAGAGCGAGACCCAGTCTCTACTATAAATAGAAAGAAATTAATTGGCCAACTAATATATATAGAAAACTTAGCCAGGCATAGCGGCGCATGCCTGTAGTCCCAGCTACTCAGGAGGCTGAGGAAGGAGGATTGCTTGAGCCCAGGAGTTTGAGGTTGCTGTGAGCTAGGCTGACGCCACCGCACTCACTCTAGCCTGGGCAACAAAGCGAGACTCTGTCTCAAAAAAATGAAAAATAAAAATAAATAAATATAAGAGCTAAAACTGTGAAACTCTTAAAGACATAGGGTTAAATTTTTATGACCTTAGATTTGGCAATGGATTTTTAAATGTGACTCTAAAAGCATAAACAACAAAAGAAAAAATAGATAAACTGGACTTCACAAAAATTAAAAACTTTTGTAAGTCAAAGGACACCATCACGAAAAGTAAAAAAATCCGGGCACGGTGGCTCACACCTGTAATCCCAGTACTCTGGGAGGCTGAGGCCGGAGGATTGCTTGAGCCCAGGAGTTTCAGGTTATGGTGAGCTATGATTGAGCCGCCACACTCCAGCCTGGCAACAGAGTGAGACCCTGTCTCTGAGAAAAAGAAAAGACCGTGAAAAAGACAATCCACAGAATCGAAGAAAATGTTTGCAAATCATGTGTCTGATAAGGGGCTTATATCTAGAATATATAAAGTATATAAAAACTCTTACAATTTAATAGTAAAATCACAACCCAATTTAAAAATAGGCAAAGAGGCCAGGCGCGGTGGCTCACGCCTGTAATCCTAGCCCCCTGGGAGGCTGAGGTGGGGGGATTGCTCAAGGTCAGGAGTTGGAAACCAGCCTGAGCAAGAGTGAGACCCCATCTCTACTATAAATAGAAATTAATTGGCCAACTAAAAACATATATATATAAAATTAGCCAGGCCTGGTGGCACATGCCTGTAGTCTCAGCTACTCGGGAGGCTGAGGCAGGAGGATCGCCTTAGCCCAGGAGTTTGAGGTTGCTGTGAGCTAGGCTGACACCACGGACACCATGGCCCTCTAGCCCAGGCAACAAAGTGAGACTCTGTCTCAAAAAAAAAAGTAGGCAAAGAATCTGAAAAATAGACATTTCTCCAAGGAGCATGTACAAATGGCCAATAGGCATGTGAAAAGATGTTGGACACCCTGGTCCTCAGAGAAATACAAATAAAACCACAATGAAACCACTTTACATGCACTAGAATGGCTAGAACCAGAAAGTGAGCTAAGAAGTGTTGAGGATGTGAAGAAAATGGAAGCCTTGCACACTGCTGATGGGAATGCATGATGATGGTACAGCCACTTGGCAAAGCAGTCTGTCAGTTCCTCAAATGATTAAACGTAGACTTACCACATGACCCAGCACATACACTTACAGGTAAATGCCCAAAAGGAATGAAAGCATATGTCTACACCAAAACTTATACACGAGGCTGGGCACGGTGGCTCACCTGTAATCTTAGCACTCTGAGAGGCCGAGGCAGGAGCATCGCTTGAGGTCAGGAGTTCAAGACCAGCCTGAGCAAGAGCAAGACACTATCTCTCCTAAAAATAGAAAAAATTACCCAGTCAACTAAAAATAGAGACAAAAAATTAGCTGGGTGGCGAGCACCTGTAGTCCCAGCTACTCAGGAGGCTGAGGCAGGAGGATCTCTTGAGCCCAGGAGTTTGAGGTTGCTGTGAGCTAGGCTGATGACACAGCACTCACTCTAGCCTGGGTGACACAATGAGACTGTCTCAAAAAAAACAAAACAAAAACAAAGGAACAATGAAAAAGTGTAGAAGAGTGCTAAAATTAATTATAAGTGGAGAAATGATATGGATATGCAAATATACACACACATATATATCTCTGTAAATTGGTAGTTATGCACTTACATATAGTAGTTAGCTAAACTTAATGTTTAAATGGACACTACATATAGAAATACTATAAATATTCACATTTCTTAATAGATGTGTACAGTGATTCAATAAATATATAGCCAAATACTTAATGGTAAGATAAGTTTACCTGTTAAGGCTCTTGGACACTTTTCCCACCAAAAGCTCCAACTGGCTCATGCAAGGATGGCCCTGCACAGTTCTGTGTGGAGGGTGCCAGTGAGGAAACTTAGGGCCTGTGGAAGCAGACGCCCAGGGGGGCAGCACCAGCCAGTGGTGAGATAGATGGGAAATATAAGAAAGTGAAGGTTATGGTATTCAGTGTGCATTGAGCACTCTAGGCAAGGCGCGCTCCTAGAACCTTTACGGGAGTCACCCGTTTCGTCCTCCCCACCCTGAGGCAGGTTATTCTATCATACCTAAATTAGAGGAAACTAGGACCCAATAAGGGAACAGCTGGCACACCAGTAACTTTATAAATCTTTAAAATGTCATACCTTTGCTTTCCTTTTTCCACCCTTGCCAAAAAAAAAAATAAATAAATAAAAACTAAAATGTCATGACAATTAGTGGGCTAGTCTTGATTTTTAAAGACAACTTCAGGTTTGAACAAATTTGCAGACACCCCAAATCTACTCCCCCAACCTGGGAGTGTCTCCACACTGTGGAAAGCAGCAGGGAGGGTAGGATTAATGCCAAAACTGTCCTTGACCACCCCCTTCCAGCCAGAGGCAGTGGGCTCTGCTCATCTCCTGCTTTGGGACCCCTTAGCTTCTCTTAGTGACTCACAGGCCATGCCCCAGAAAAATCCCTGGGTGCATGAAAAAATTCACTAACCACTTACTTCATGCTTGGTAGAACTGTGGCCAGAGCAGGGAATTGCTGGGCCTGGCCTCGAGGGAGACACCAACAGAAACGCATGGAGCCACAGAAATTCCAGAGACAAGCAAATGCAGGAGGACATTGGGAAAGTATTGCAAAGATGCAGAAATAAGGATGGAAACAACTCAGAGATGCTGGGGAGGGGAAGAGGGCAGAGAAAGACTCTTCTAGAAAGATCCAGAAAGTCAGATAGAAATTAAGAAATACATTTCTTAAAGATTGTGCCTAAAAGAAGAAAAAGAAATACAGAGACACACAGAAGGCCCCTGCTGCCCTCTTCCCTGCGACACAGGGTGGAAAAAGAGATGTGTTCTCTGAGCTGAGGCCAGGCGGGGCGGGGAGCCTCCAACAGGAAGAGCTCTGACCCTGCTCTTCCTGTGCACTCCCAGCCAGGCCTCCTGCCCCTGTGAAGCTGAACACACAGCTTCAGAAGGTCCTGCGGGCTCGGGTCCTAGTCCTCCCTGGGATGTTTTAGTTCAAATGGGCTTGTTGTGGGCCTTGCCGCAGGATGGGCAGGTCCAGTTTTACAGTTTCCCAAATTCTGCTGCTGCTGCTGTGTGTGTGTGTGTGTGTGTGTGTGTGTGAGAGAGAGAGAGAGAGAGAGTGACAGACAGACAGACAGACAGACAGAGCGCATTTATCTAGGAGAAAACAAAATGACTGGCGGTTTCCTCCCAACAGCTCTGAGGCACTGAGGCACATAAAAAACTGTGAACTTGCAGGGACCAGTGATCCTTCCTGGCCTTGGCTGAAGACCCCTTCCTAGCTGATTTAACAACAGAACCTGCCCCAACCCTGGATGGCTGCGGCCACGCCCAGCTGCCTGTGCGGACTGTGGCCGCTAGTGGAGCCAGGGTCACAGGAGCGTGGCGCAGGCCCCTGGAGAAGCAGGGAGTGACTGTGGAGGGACTGGGCAAGGTGGGAGATGTGGCCTCTCAATCTGCCTCTCAGGAGACGTTCTCCTACGTTCTCCCCTTACCTCCCCCGCCCGACCACACTCAGCACTCTTCAACAGAAAGGCTGCCTGTGCCCCAGGCCTGCACTCTGGAACCTGACCACCCGGATTCTAACTCTAGTCCCAACACTTACCAGATGGCTGAAGTTACCAGGTGACTTTACCTCTCTGTGCCTCCATTTCCCATACGTAAAGTGGAATATTGATAGCACCAACTTCACCAAACAGGTAAAACTTGGGACTTTGGAGTTAGAACGGCCTCAGGGAAGTCACTTAATCTTTTTTTGTCAGTCTCTCATCTGTAAAATGAGCAGGATGACTCTACACCCAGGGGTGTTCAGTAGCTGATGAAGCCTTTCCAGAGCCCCTGAAGGTCCGGAGACAGGCGACTTGGCCACTGTGACTGTCCCAGGCCGTCCTCAGCCTCCTGCACAGGACCTGCTTCCTACCTCTTCCTCTTTGCCCTGCTCCATGCAGCCCAGCCTCCCAAACAATCCCTCGTTCCTCATC